AAGAGAACCCTTCAAACAAGTTTATAAAGCTCAAATGCACTAGAAAATGTTTCAGATAGAAACTAGTTTCATAGATTCCTTACTTAACAGAATTAAGGTAATTTTTTAAAGTCAGGAAATATATAAGATGAAAATATACTTGTTTATCCATAATTTTTCACAGTCAGAAAAGAAAATATACATTTCTGTTCATATTTTGTTGAGATCTTTCCAAAAGTCTTTTATACTTTGGAAAAATGATGAAGAAAATGTATGTTTCAATACATTAATTTTTAAATATATCTTTGGTGCATTCCTATTTGTACCAAAATTAAACTTATAAGTATTATTAAAACTGAAATGCACCATCTTGTGGTTATCTGAAAGGTATGCAATTTATAGTCTTAAAATTCTTTAGGGACTACACATTTCACCTTTGCTCTTTTCTATATTAACTCACTTTCATTTAAAAATAATATATTCTTTTCTGACTCATCAAAAAATCTTGAAATTAAAAACAAACTTCTCTTTATCAAAATTTATTTTTGTTAATATTTAACAAAATACGTGCTATAAAATATATTTTAGCAGCCAAGAGACTGCTCAATGGAGTGAGTATATTCTGTGCATGCCTGAAGTCATGTAAAATCCCCAGCACCACATCATTTCCTGAGCACTTCTGATCTCAAGCACAGAGCTGGACCTCCAAGCAGCACAGGGTAAGACCCAAACCCAGAGTGAAAATGGCTTTATTTTCACCTTAAAGAGTAATAGATATTGTCAAGTTTTTATTACCATCATTACAAATAACAGGACAAGAAAAAATCATAATTATTTATTTTTGGTAAATTTCATATTCAACTAGGTAATGGATATGTCTGCAAGTCTAATTATATAAAGATAGATTATTTCATGTCTTCTCTTTAAAAACTCTAGAATAATTTTTGAGTATAAAGAGAAAAAAGGAGAAGAGGATAAGAGGTAACAAATTAGTTTGGGGCCAGAGCTACACAAAGTACATCTTTGTGGGCTAGAGATAATATAGTGGATAAGATGCTTGCCTTGCACGTGGCCAACTCCGGCATCATCTCTGGCACCACATATGCTACATTGAGCACAACCAGAAGTGATTCCTGAGCATAAAGTCAGCAGTACTGCCTAAGCATGGCTGACATGGCTCAAGTCGCTCAAAACTATTATATATAATATATATATATATATATATATATCACAACAAAACCTCACAAGCTACCCATGACGTATTCAGTATGCCAAACACAGTAACAAGTTTCACAATAGAGATGTTATTGGGCCTGCTCGAGCAAATTGATGAACAAGGGGAGGACAATGACAGTGACAGAGTCACATATATATATATATATACACATATGTATATATATACATAATTGATCATCTTCAATGTGCAAAAAAATCCATTGCATGTTTGAATCTCAATGAAAGATTATAGCATTAATGAGTAATTTCATGCTTTCCTTATATTTTACACTTCAAAAATTTAGGTAAAAAACATATTATGATAAAATCTAGGAATAGTATGGGAAATTTTAATAAATTAAAGCAGGTGTTAAACAGTTCCTGGGGGGAGGGGGGCTAGAGCGATAGCACAGCAGGTAGGGCGTTTGCCTTGCATTCGATTCCCAGCATCCCATATGGTCCCCTGAGCACCGCCAGGAGTGATTCCTGAGTACAGAGCCAGGAGTAACCCCTGAGCGCTGCCAGGTGTGACCCAAAAAAGAAAAAAAAAACAGTTTCTGGGGTTTACTAAATTTTTTTCACTTGCACTGTTTGCCTAAGAACAATGACTTAGGTTAGCACTAATCAAAATATCTTAGATTCATCATATACTTGATATTGAATTAATTTTTTGTCACTGTAAATTCAGAAACATGAACTCTTTCCAATCTTATGTAACCTCTATGTGACCCCTTTCACATGGGGTAGCAACACACAGTTTAAGAAGTCAAGATCTAGTCCAAGAGAAAATATGTATTACTAATTAAAGTAGATGAAAGACAGAAAGCAAGAAGAAAAAGAGAAAAAAGACAAGAGAAAGAAGGAAGGAAGGGAGGGAGGAAGGAAGGGAGGGAGGGAGGAAGGAAGGAAGGAAGGAAGGAAGGAAGGAAGGAAGGGAGGGAGGGAGGGAGGGAGGGAGGGAGGGAGGGAAGGAGGAAGGGAGAAAGGAAGGGAGATTTTCAAACATTGACAGGCAGTGTTTGAGATCTTGGAGTTACAAGCCAAAATTACTGCATCGTGGTGCTAAAGAAACTAAAGAGGAATATAAATCAAGAAAAAATAATTATAAATAAATAGTGGGCTAAGGGAGAATGAGAATGGAGATATGCATAGACTTCACAGAGAAAGGTTTCCAGACTTATTGCTTGAAAAAGTTTGAAGTGGACAAAATTCCCCACATTGTCACAGGAAAAGAAAAAATGTTTTTTCAATGATCATAGAATCTGAAATATCTGAGGGAAAAAAATTGAAATACTAGTTCATCTTTGTTTTAGTATTTTTTTTTTTACTTTAGTAGGGAATGAAATCCTACCACTTCCTTGTGTAGACAACTGTAGCCTATACCCAAAATAATCCATTACACTTTGTTATTGGAAGAGCTCTGGACAGGCTAATGCTTAGACTTGAGTTACTAATCTAAAATGACTGGTGGGCATTTAATGGGTAGAAATACAGAAAAAAATAAACTGGCTTAAGTAAAACGGAAATGGATCTAACAAAATTGGATTGTCACTGTCTGTCAATGTTGGATGTTGTCAGTGTTGTATGTTGTTGGAAAATTGAAAAATGAGTTTGGGGAGGGCCGGAGTCATAGCACAGCGCGTAGGGCGTTTGCCTTGCACATGGCTGACCTGGGTTCGATCTCTAGCATCCCCTATGGTTCCCCAAGCACCGCCAGGGGTAATTCCTGAGTGCAGAGCCAGGAGTAACCCCTGAGTATCGCTGGGTGTGACTCAAAAAGCCAAAAAAAAAAAGAGTTGGCACAGCTAGAAAAAAGGTGCATATTATGGAGAATTAAAAGATAAAATTTCAGTGGTGGACATCATATTATAAGATATAGATCAAACATCTTGAAGTGTCACATAAAATAAACTAGCAATTTTAATTTCACTCTAAAAACTAAGAAAATCATTACTCTAGTGTGAAAGAACTGGAAAAGTAATAACTCTTATGTAATATACACAGTTGTTTCTTTTCAAGGTGATATTTCACATTTAATTTATAAAATGTTGCATAAAAATTTAGGGAAAGGAAACTAACATAACACTTTAAAGTCCATAAAATTGATATTAATATAGATAAAAAAATCACTAATTATTTATAACATCATAAAAATAATCTTTAAGAATTAAATTCCTTTGTCTTTTGTTTTTCTTTTAAGCAGAATACTTGCAAAGCTTTATGCATAGAGTCATAGTCCAGATAATATATAATAAAAAGACACAGAGAGACAAAGACAATAGAATACCACATATTGTCAAGAGATTAATTCATCTATTTTATTTTAATACTGACCTATAACTGAAAGAAAATCATTACATATAAATTATTTGAGGTTCCAGCTAGAAAAACCAAATTTCTTCTAGATTACTTTTACTTCATATTGAGCATTAACTAACCATATATCACATTTATTGGAAAATGGTAGCAAAAATGGAAATTAATGAATTAATATTTTTATCATTAATTAGTACTTTGGGTTTGATTACAAAACTTATTGTGACAGCAGGATCATAGCATTAAAAATGTACTTCAACTTAATGGATAGTCAAAACAGTATAAAATATTTTTATATGACTAAGTTAACAAATATACTTATCTTGTAAAATATGAAAAAATAAATCATGTGATTGTCTGAATTCATTAAACATTTTATTTGTAATTTTATTAATTTCTATAGCATAGGACTATAGAAATATTCACAAGAATATTATTTCTAAACATTAATATTATAACCAAGCAAATTATGTAAAAATGCCATATACAAAATTTTGATTCCAGAAATTATAAATAATTTAACATCATTTTAAAGGCCCAAACATTTCAAGGACTTCAAAGAATATTAGTAGACTCTTTGCCTTGTGTTCCTGAATGAAGTTTTTTGGTATCATTATTTGTTCATTATATTTGCCACTGGAATGTATGCTCACAGAAGATCTTGAAATATTTTATTTTAGAAAAATAAAAATAACTATATACAAAACACAAAGGTATCAGAATACATAAAAATGTTAAAGCAGTATTTTATGTTGTTATAAATTCCTAGATGAAGAGTAATTTATATTTGAAAATTTTCAGTAGTTTTTCCTCAGACATACAGAACTGAGAAAATTATATACTAGAAATATATAATCAAAATTAAGTTCATGAACTTTGTAAGAATAAAATATAAAAATATATATAAAATATTAAATACACTTAAAACTCAAAGAAAAACTGCAATGCTCTGAATATTCTGAGATTTTACATATTCTTCTAAAGACTCTAGTACAGGGAAATAAATAACTTATTAAAAATAATATGCAATAGTCAGAAAGCTTACAATAGTGTAACATTTTGTTAATGTTGGAATTAATCATACCATGATTTTTCTTAACTGAACATTTATTCAACTACATTTCAGAATTTGTCTCCTAGCTTAGAACTACGCAACACTGTATAATAATACACGCTTTGTCTAGAGAGAAGCTTTTTCCTAAATTTTGCTTCCTTCAATATCCTTTCATTTAGCAAACTGTAATGAACTTAACGGAGCAAATGTGTTCTTTTTTTTTTTGCAAGTTTTGAGTACAAGTAGACATATTGTGATGAAATAAAAAAAATCACAAAGGTGATCTTAAGGTCTTTTTGTGATTCTGTTATATAACGAATGACACAAGACAATTAGTAGTCACAGTTCTACAGAATTACCCTTGGTTGGAAAGATGAAAAATAACTTGTTTTACTATGACAACTATTGATTTAAATGGCAAAAAAGTGACATTTACCTTTTCCAATTGAGCGTTTTTTTTGGATTTGTATAAAAATTCTCCCACTGCCACAAAAACTGAGAGCACCAAGCCGGCTGCCAGAACAATGAAGATGCCACCAATATTCTGAACCCCCAGGGCACTGGCCTCTTTGCTCTCCTCCTCCGGGCAACCATTGCCCCTCCACCACTTTTCCTTCATCATGTGCAGCTTGCCTTCTTCTTGCAGCTGAAGAATTGCTATCGTTATTTTGTCTCTATATGGAGAACCTAAAAAGAAAGGGAGTGGGGTGGGTATTTGAACGCTTTCAAAGAACCCAAAGTTTCATAATTAAAGGTCAGCATCATAAGACGAGCATGGAATTTTTTCACATTTTCTGAACTATGCCAATAATTATTTTAAGTAGATAAGGCAACAGGAATAAGGCAGAGAACAGAAGTTTAAGAAGATAAATCAAGTGGGTCATGTTTCTAGATTTTGAAACCTTAAAAAAAATCTTTTGAAGGAGGAAAGTGTCTCCTTTCAATAGCCAGAGTCAATCCAGAACATTAGAAAATCCATATAACAATAAGCAAAAACCTACAAAGAGAAATAGACTTGGATTTCTAGTAAAAGTCCAGGGATCATTCTGCACTGGAAAAAGCATTGATAAACAGTAACTTCTGTTTATTAAAGTTATAGAAAAGTGGTGTTATGGGATTAAGTGTACTAATTTAAGGTACTCATGATTCACAACCGATCATTCAAATAATAGGTAATAACTCATATTTGCAGTTTGATGTGAATAACAGAAATAACATATTTGTGAAAATCTGTATCATTCAGAAATCATTATGACAACGTACCATCAGATTTTTGAGTGATATAAATTTCAATGATGCATAAGATTTTCTGTTTATCATTTTGTGCTTGGGAGAAAAATGTTCTTTTCACTGGTGGCAGTGATATATATATAAATTAGTATTATGCTAATAATACTAATTTTTGGTAGATATTATAAGTAATGCTTTTGCTAATTTGTTGTCCTACTAGGTAGAATTAATCCCATCAACGGCCAAGACTCAGAGACTATAAAAACCAGCTCCCTGAACCGCATGGCCGCAACATCCTATTATGACATCTTATTATCTCATTCCTACTTTGGACAAACTGGCAGGCTACCGAATGTAGCCTGCCCACACGGCAGAGTCTGGCAAACTCCCCATGGCGTACCCAATATGCCAAATACCAGTAACAATGATGGGTCTCATTCTCCTAAAGAGCCTTGAATATAATCTCAGGGCTAGGATGAAGGAGACGTTACTGGGGCCTGCTCGAGGCAATCGACGATTAACAGGATGATTTGTGATTTGTGATTTGTGACTAGGTAGAATAGTGAAGTAGATGTATCTTTTAAAAATCTTCCTTAAAGGATTAGTTTTATAGTTTTCTCCTAGAAAAACAGGAGAAACAACCTGTTTAAAGTTTAATCTTTTTGTCTTTTCTCTGATGCCATATTGCACAGTCTGTTTTTCTCTTTTTGTTTGTTTTTGTTCTGGGCCACACCCACAGGTGCTCATCACTTACTCCTGGCTCTGCATTCAGGGATCACCCTGATGGTGCTCTGATGGTGGTGGTGATATAACTCAGGACTGCCGTGTAAAACGCAGATTTTCTGAAAAGTTTTAAGATTTTCCAAAAAAAAAAATTATCAGTGTTTTTCTACTTATAGAAAAATACTAAGCATTATAACTTGTATTCAAAGTTACCTTTCATTTCATTTTTTGTTGTAATTTTCCAATTTGTAATTTTTACCTAAAACTTACCAAAATAATTAAAATCCTAGTCAAAAATTGTTTTCCTCAAGATGGAATCCATTATTTACTTTCTAAAAATTAATATAATAGGATTAATTGAGTAATGCATAGTAGGAGTAGGCAAGCTAAAAGTAGAAATAAAAAGAGACCATACAATGCAAATTCCCTAAGTTGGAATTATGAGATATAAGCGATGCACAGGGGACAGGGGTTACTCCTGGCTCTGCACTCAGGAATTACTCCTGGCAGTGCTCAGGGAGACCATATGGGATGCTGGGAATCGAACCCGGGTCGGCCGCGTGCAAGGCAAACACTCTACCCACCGTGCTATTGCTCCAGCCCCAGGAAAGTTTCTTTAGCATAATTCTTAGTACTCTCAGAAGAAAAGTAGAAATACATGGCTTTTTTGCAATTTTTTTTTACAATTTTCTTTTCAAGGGGATATAATCTATTCCTCTAACATGCTTTTCATTACACAGTCATATCCAAGCATACTAGAAAATTTTTGTGTTTCTTAGTTTTTTGTTCTTTCTTCTTAATGTGCTTACTTCAAAATACAATTCAGATTTTTTAAAAAATGATTAGCTTTAAAATCTGTTCCTCAAATTTAAATTTAAATGAATTACCATATTCCATATGACTTACTATTTTGATCACTTGAGGACATTCGGTCTAGGTGACCTAGTGTTTTCAAGATGTGACTTATTTTCTATGTAGAGTATCAACTCTTTATGAAAGAGGTTATATATCTACCCATCTGTCCACCGATTAATTTATTATCACATATTTATATTTAATTGTGGATAATTTTTTATGTAAGAGGAACTCAATAAATATATCTTAAGATGAGAATAATATATTGTAAAGGCATTTCTAACATAAAAGTGATATGTTGTGCTTCTTCTCTCTCTCTCTCGATCTCTCTCTTTCTCTTTCTCTCTCTCTGATACATTTAAACACCATAAATAAAATCTATCCTGATTGATTATCTTGGTTTTATTAATTTACCACACTGAAAATAGCACAAACTTCAATAATACTCTACTTCTTATTTACCATCCCGATTAACTATGTAATTCAAGTGGTATGTAATTAATTTCATAACTCAAGAAGGATATTTCATTTAGGAAGATAGCAACCAAACAAATCTTTTAAAGATAGCACTTTTGAGAACAATAATGTGTTTCTAAGATTAAAATATGAATTTCTTGTTGAAAATATAATATGAGCAAACCGCGTGGTGGGCAATTACTTGAAAAAATACACTTTCAGAAGGGGGAAGTTGTGAGACATCACTGCCTTCATTCCTGACTACGTCCTGACTCCATCTTTCTTGAGACTGTTATTTTTGTACCAGTGTTTCTTTATTTCATATAAATTTTTGTTCTCCTTTTCTTTCGTCCTTTCTCTCTCTCCTCCTGATCATGTTTTCCTTTCTCCTCTCCTCCTGTTCTGCTCTCTTTATCCTCCCCCGTTTTTTCTTTCTTGTTCCTTTCTTCCTAATATTATGTTTCTTACTTGTAGAACTAGAAAACACATTGCCATGCACACTTAGTTCTATCTCTGTTATACACAATTTAGTAATTTGATTATTAGGTTTTTCCTTCAAACTTTTGACAACATGCAAAATTTTAAGCAAGAAGTGGTCTCATTTATGATGTCATAAATTTAGGAGAAACTCAATGAGTAAATATTAATATACAAGATGATTTACTTTACTTAGAAAGGGTATAGGCAATAGCATGTCCCCTTCCATAATTAATTTTTTTCTTTTTTTCCTATATGTATTCCTAGTTTAGAAAGTCATATTTTGGAGGGAAATGGCAGTGATAGCATGACAAATCTATTCATTTCTTCTAAATGTAAAAGTTAGAGCTAGGTACAAGATACCAAGCTCATGGCTCATGCGAGAATGCAGTCATATATAATTGTCATTGTGAGTGTAGAAATGAGAGTAGAAAGATTAAAAAATGAAACAGAAATGAATTAGGGAACAAGATACAGATTAGATATTAAATGAACACCAAGAACAATGAGGATAAAATAAAATTTAAAGTAACTGTATTAAAAATCTATAATTGTCTTAGGTGGTATTAGTTCCTTGATTATAGTCCATAAAAATACAGACTATTTATGTCTTCTGTAGGAAAGCTAAAGGAATTTAATTTCAAGGAATATTTTATTATTTCTTTAGAGAATATTCTAGTATCTAAGATCAAAAGGGAAATGCTCATATGAGTCACTAAACTATCTACAAATATTTCTAATTTTATTTTACTTTCATTTACATTTGAGTATTCTCCACTTCTATGAAAAAGAATGAGAAGAGCAAATATTATCAGGACATACTGAAAAAATAAACCATTTTTACTGATTTTGACAATTTTTATATACATTAGTTAAATATGTCTGGGGAAGTAGATTTGTAGTCACATTTCTTTTCTGAGTATTAATTCTTAATATTTTGACACTAAGTATGGAAATAGAAGCAGTTTTATCCTTGACACTCTGCCTTCCTTATACTTTTTTTTATCTACATAGTAATCATTTGGATATTAGTTAGAATGGAATTTTCAGGAATGATTCCTGACTGTGACATTTTTGTTCTAAATCCAATATCAGTTTTAATGAATAAGTTATGAAAGTTGGACCCTTTGAAATAAAACCATCATCTTAATCAACTACTCAAAAATTCGGAGGAATATTGCTTTTATAGGGAAAGTGATATATACATTGAGTCAAAACAACAACAAAAAAATAAAAACAAACACTGTCCTCCGTTTGTTCATTGATTTGCTTAAGTGGGCCCAGTAATGTCTCCACTATGAGACTTGTTGTTACTGTGTTTGGCATATTGAATACATCATGAGAAGCTTCCCAGGCTTTGCCATACAGGCAAGATAATCTTGGTAGCTTGCCAGGCTCTCCAAGAGGGGCGGAGGAATAGAACCCGGCTCGGGCTGGGCTGGCTGCGCACAAGGCAAATGCCCTAACGCTGTGCTATTGCTATATAAGTAAAATATTCAATTTTACTTGACCTCTTTGGTCCACACAGTACTCTGCCACTTTGAGTCCTTATATTATAATACAGACTTCTTATGTTTTATTTTACCCAGTTTATGTTAAATTCAGGGTTTGTGGCAATAGCTCAAGAGTCATGGGAACATGACTTTCATGTACAAGACAATGAGGTTCATCCCTGGCACCTTATCACTTCCTTTCATCTTGAGACTTGCAGTCCTCCACTCTGGCTCTGAGCACTGAACCATCGAGCCACTGACCATCAAGCAATGAAAACAAGCCAATTTTGTGCATTATGTTCAACATAGTGACTCCCAAGTTCTCAGAGTACTGCTTGGGAATCCCTCTAAAAATTTTTCTTCTAATGCCTATATTCTTGAGAAAGGGGATGCTTAACTCTAAGTTATTTCTATTATTTACAATTCTAAGCAAGTAGATAAATGGAAGTTCTC